ATAGCTAGCTAGAATCTTTGAATTTCAAAAATAGGAGGTAAGAGAAATCTGTAAAGGTAAAGAAATTTGAGCAACCTGAAAGGGCTAAGTGATTTTAAGTACACACTCATACATACATTATACATATTACATATTATAGTACATACATATGCTGAATATATAATATATACAATAGAGACACATATAATATACACACACACACACAAGCACATACATACATTGAAATGGGGGAAACTTACTATTGTTCTTTCAGAAACCCACCGACTCTAAGGGTCATTCAGGTATAAAGACAAAGAAACTCAGGGCTTTGGCATTTAAAAAAAACTAAAGGAAAGAAAAGAAATATCCTATGGGTTAAATGGAGAAGAGATCATAAGGGAACTAACTAGTTTCAGTATTTGGGACCCCACAAGAGAAAAAAATGCAAGCATAGAGGTGAGGGTAGGGGCCTGAGGAATCTGAACAAGGGAAGGTTGGGTGTGGAGTAGGAAAGAGTATTGTATAGATGTATAATAAAGTATATAGGGAACTGAGATGTGCAGGGAGAGGAAAGAGTTAGGAAGGGAATTGTCACAAGGCAAACAAAAATTCTACTAGGAAGGACTGATTACCAAAGGTACAGAGGGACAGAAGAGAAAGGGAGAAGAATTTATAAGAAACATAAAAATTCATTCAGTGTTAAAATGAGAGGTCAGAGTATAATCAGCTATGCTTTAGCAGAATAAAAGATAAAACACATAAAAGCAAGAAGGATGGTAATTATGATCTCATTCAAAGAAACAAGAAAAATGGACATGATTAAGAAATAAGCAAGGCAACTTCATTATGCTTAAAAGCACCATAAATAGTGAAACAATATAACTATTAAACATACATTTACTGGATGTCATAGCATCTATGGAAAAGCTAACCAAGCTACAGGGAGAACTAGAGAGAAAAACAGTAGTCATTAGGAGCTTTAACGTAACCTTTTCAGACCTTGATAAATCTAACAGCAAAATAAACAAGACAGAAGTTAATGATCTGAACAATTTATTAGAAAAATTAGATGTGATAGACCTTTGGCAATTACTGAATGAGAATTATATACATTTTTCACCTTTTCATGGAACTATTACAAACATTTACCATATATTAGGGCATAAACAGCTTGTAAACAAATGTAAAAAGGTAGAAATGTTAACACATCCTTTGTAGACCATAATACTAAATAATGCACTCTTAAATAATGTGTGGTTCCATGAAGAAATAATAGTCTCAAAGAAAATAACAATGAGACAGCATACTAATACCTATGGGATATAGCCAAAGTAATTCTTAGGGGAAAATTCATTTTTAAATACTTTGATCCACAAAAGAGAATGAGAACTCAATAAATTAAGCATACAGGTGTAAGAATAGAACATAAAAAAACTTAGAGACTTAAATAATGACAAAAATAATCATTCTGAAAATCAAAGGAGAAAGAAACAAAATTTAAAAAAAAACTGCCCAGCCAGATGCATGGCCTCTACTGGACACTGTTTGGTACCTCAAATTCTAACACAGCTAGAATCCTTAGCTACTTCAAGGAAAGTGTTGGTGCTGCCACAGTATTTTAGTTTAATACCTCAGGATTTTTCTTCCTAGAGATCTTTTAACAGTGGCAGAAATACTTGCTTGGGACCAGCAAAAAGCCTCCCCTTTGCTTGTCCTGTCCTATTCCCTCAGTGTTGGCTACAAACACTGTCATCTCCCTAGCAAGAGGATTTTAGCCTGAGGCTCTAAACTCTTTAGAGCAGGGCCCTCCCAGTTAGCAGATGTTCTGAAGGCTTAATCCTTTCACTGGAATAAAATTCTTGGTTTCTGTGCTTGAGGTGTCATGGTAGGCAGTCCATATACTTCCTGATTTATGTTGATTTGTCCAATACCTACCAGTCTACCTGTGTTCCCTGCTTTTTGAACCCTAAGCTTCTTTTGTCCTCAGCCATGTAGATCATTGAGGGGGATAGGTGAACAAACAAACAAGGTACATGTATGGGGCAAGGTCATGCGTCGTCTTTTCCACCAGTTCATCTGTATTTTTGGCCCCTTCTTATTCATATATAGCCAGCCCAAAGCCTCTGAGGTGCTTTGAGACATAACTTTACACAAGGAAAGAGATGGAAAGATAGAAGCATGGGGACACACAGAAGTAACAGCTGCAAAGTCCAATATCAAATCAGTAACAAAGACAGAACTGGGATTAGTAGGGATTTGGAAGGCAGAATTAGGAAGAGGGTAGATCCAGGATCATAGTTTAAAGCCTCGGTCAGACCACTGATGTCTCCTCCGAAGAAACAGCACATGCCAAGGCAAAATTTAAGAGTCCATCACCTGGAGCTCTGCAGGCCTGACAGAGTCATCTCTGATCTCTCACATATTCTACCCCCTTGTGACCAATAGTGTATGTTTGCAAAATGGCTGCTATGAAAATATCACTTTATAGCCCCATTTAAGACGTCTTAGTATATTCTGCTTAAATGTGATTATAAAAAGCCAATGTGCAATATCGTCTGAGATGTTTGATTTTCTTTTATAAGCCTAAGCCCTTCAGGGAAAACATGCATCAGAAGCTGTCTCTAACAGAGTAGTTTAGTACCTGATCCCATGAGTGTGATGGCTGCTATGGAAACCACTCAACGCAAGCAATTCAGCAGCTTGATACCTGATGGGTGGGGGAATCTTGGAACAAATAATTCATATACTCAAAGAATCAGAAGACTATAAATTTAAATCTGGAAGGTGCTTTAAAAGCTATTGTGTCCAACCCCCTTATTTGTACAGCTGAAGAAACTGAGGCATAGAGAGCTTGACTAATTTGCTCCAGATCACACATAGGATCCTGGATGAAGATCTAGAAGGGACCTCAGAGGTCATCTAGTCCTACCTCCTCCTTTTCCAGGAGAGGAAACAGAGGTTCAGAGAAAGTAAATGACTTGCTGAAGATCATATAGGTAGTAAGTGGCTAAGGTGGGATTTGACCACTTGGGTCATGCAGCACATACAAAGGTCTGATAAAATGTCAGAGCCTGGAGGGAGGAAATTGAAGAGATTATTTAGTCTAATCACCTCAATTTATGAAGAAGGAAAGTGACGATCAGAGAAGTTAAATTGTTTATCCTAGTTTTCACAATGAATTGATGGTAGAGTAAATCCTAACATGATGGAAGAGAGAAGAATGATGATGATGGTGGTGATCATCATCATCATCATCATCTAATAACAGGTAACATTTACATAGTGCTTACTTAGAATAGGCACTGTTCTAAGTGTTTTTTTACAAATGTTGTTTCACACAAGCCATTCCGCAATTGATAAATGGTCAAAGGATATGAACAGACAGTTCTCAGATGAAGAAATTAACGCCATCTATAGTCATATGAAAAAATGCTCTAAATCACTATTGATTAGAGAAATGCAAATCAAAACAACTCTGAGGTACCACATCACACCTATCAGATTGGCCAACATGACAAAACAGGAAAACGATAAATGTTGGAGAGGATGTGGGAAAATTGGAACGCTAATACATTGTGGGTGGAGTTGTGAAATGATCCAACCATTTTGGAGAACAATTTGGAACTATGCCCAAAGGGCTACAAAAATGTGCATACCCTTTGATCCAGCAATAGCACTTCTAGGGCTATATCCCAAAGAGATCAAACAAATGGGAAAAGGACCCACCTGTACAAAAATATTCATAGCAGCTCTTTTTGTGGTGGCAAAGAATTGGAAATTGAGAAGATGCCCGTCAATTGGGGAATGGCTGAGCAAGTTGTGGTATATGAATGTAATAGAATACTGTTGTGCTATAAGAAATGATGAACAGGCTGACTTCAGAAAAACCTGGGAAGACTTATATGGTCTGATGCTGAGTGAAGTGAGCAGAACCAAGAGGACTTTGTACACAATAGCAGCCACGTTATGCAATGACTAAGAATGTTAAACTGAACCCTTCTCAGCATTAAGAGGATCTAAGACATCTCCAGAGGCCTCAGGATGGAAAATGCCGTCCACATCCAAAGAAAGAACTATGGAAGTTGAATTGCTCTCACTTATTTTTACCTTCTGTTGAGTTTTGTTTCATCTTTCTGATGGTTCCTCCTATTGGTTATAATTTTTACTTACAACTTCACTAATGTGAAAATATGTTTAATGGGTATGTAAATGTAAAGCCTATGTCAGATTGTGTGCCGTCTTGGGGAGGGTGGGGGGGGAGAAAAAGGGAGAAAAATTTTCAACTCAAAAGCATATGGAAAAAAAAAATTTATAAAAAAGAGAAAAAAAAGTATATAAAGAGAAAAAGTGCTCACACTTGAACGAATAAAAAAAATAGAGAAGTACCAGAAAAAAACAAACAAACAAATGTTGTTACATTTCATCCTCACAGCAACCCTGGGAGATAGGTGCTATTTATCCCCATTTTACAGATGAGGCAATTGAAGCAGAAAGAGGTTAAGTGACTTATCTAGGGTCGTGTGGCTATTGAGTATTTGAGGTTACATCTAAACTCCGGTCTTTCTGACTTCTGTCCCCAATACTCTATTCATTGTACCACTGTTATTATTGTTTTTATTATTAATATTATTGTAGAGGCAGGGTGGCTTAGTGTGTTGAATGCTTAGTTTGCAGTAGGAAGGATTTAGGTTCAAATTCTATTTCTAATATTTACTAGCTGTGCCACTCTGGGAAAGTTACTTAACTTCTATGTACATCATGCAATTTCTTAGGATTTGTCTACTGAATTATTAGATAAGTTAAAATCTGGATTGAGGTGTGTGTGGAGGGCTGTTGTCATACTGTTTTCCACGCTGATAAAATCACAGACCATTTATGTGCTGTTGGAATTATGCTTTTAAAAAACAAACATTCTAGCTTAAACTTGTCAATAATGATGACATTTCTAATTATAATGATAAAACATCTTCACAAAAATTAAGAATGTCATGCTGGGGCTTTTTCTTTTTTTTACATTTTAGCCACAAGATGATCAAGGAAATAAAGGTTGAAAGTTGGGACCTTTGAAGAAAAAAAAAATGGGGCCATTCTTCTGGTAAGTAGTAGCCATAGAGTTGCTACATTTTTCTTGCTAGGCAGATGATCAAAAACTGCAAGGAAGCCTCTGCAAGGGATTTTTATGACAAGTTGTCTTGAAGTTCCAGAGCTGAAAAAGCCTTAGGTATCAAGAAAGGTTTAAAGTACAAAGGTGTGTTTTATCTAGGCCTCAGGGAGGAAATAAGGGTAAGACTAAGCTAATGTTGATATTGATAGAGGATTAATGAGTGAAGTGCCTAATTGTGCAATAGCATTCTATTTAAATAGAGCTATTTAATGTGTGTACTATATTTGTTTTTAAGAGCATAATTGAGTAGGATATCATACTAATCTTTTCATAATTATTGACCACCAACTATATACAAGGCGTGATGCTCACCCATACCTAACTCTTGGACCCAACCAAGTTCTCCCCAAATTGTAGATAAAGTACCTGGGCGAAAATAAAATAAAAAGAGTCTCATGAGTGTTCGACGTATAAAACCCAAACCTATAAAATGATAATACATGAATGAAACACAGAGCATTTGATTTTGCTTTTTGGCAAAATCTAAATTATTAAAGGGATGATTAGGTTCTAGAAGAAAAAGTGTTGATAAGAAAGAACTAACATAGCTTTATTTAGATTAAGTTTTGCCAAATTCAGCTCCTTCCCTTTCTGGGAATGGATTGTTATACTGGTAAGTCAAGGAATGCTGTAGAGATAAGACCAGGAAACTATTTGATAAAGACTCTCATGCACAACATGGAGAGCTACTAACTGTCTCTACTCTGAATGATCATTGATTGGTTCACTGCCACCTTGAAAGGAGTCCGTGCTTTTCCATATTTTTTATGGAGGGTTTAGATAAAGGCATAGATGGCAGGTTCATCAAATTTGCAGATGATACAAAGCTAAGAAGCATAACTAACACATTGGATGACAAAGCCATGATATTTTGATGAATTTTTCATCTAATTACTCCTTCCAGAGAACTCATCCATGCCTTCTTATCCTGTGTAATTATCCATGTCTTCCTATAAATGTGCCGCAAGGGGTCAGTCCATCCAGTTGTTCTATCCTTCCATCTTGCCACCTGCCTAATCCACCTTCTTTTCTGGTCATACAAGTCACTGGCGGGATTCTGTGTCCCCCTTCTCTGGCACTATTCTTGACTGGTAATGTGTTTCTACCTGCTCATGTTTACCATTAACCTTACCATTGTCTTTGAGTGACCTTCGTTTTAATTCTTTATAGACCATAATATTCTATAGCTCACAGTCATAAAGCATCATCAGAAAGCTATTGATATTAAAAGAAGACTGACTTTTGTTTTAGATAAAACGTTAGGGTCATTAAAAGCAGTGTACTATTTTCCAAGGGGCATTCTAGCCTATTCTTCTCCTATTCCATTCTGTACCCAACTCATTGTCTATATCAATGACTTCCAAGATCTGTGTATTTATGGATGGACTAACTATGGATGGCTTTCCACCCAACTGATTAGCAAGGTTTTTATAACAGGTATTTTTCTTCCACTTTGTTTTTCCTATGTGGATAGTTAGGCTAAACTCTTGAGTAAATATGGATTTCATTTAGGAGACTTCACAGTTTTCTAGGACTTGATAAAATCTGCACAGTGTCACCTGCACAATGGAAAGAAAAGAATCTGTAGGGCATTCCTCTTCTATTTAAACCTGCACTGGAGATCCTCTGTGATAGTGGCAAGTGAACATATCTCCCTGTTTTTCTCTTTACTTGATAATAAGTCAGAAGGTCAAATATACTTATATCTTACAAGGTATCATGCAAGATTTTGACATATGCATGGGAGGCATCTATTTGGAAGAGAACCTTTAAGGAAGTTTTGCTCTATGGAATCAAATGTTTAGCACAGTTTCTGGAACATAGTAGGTACCTAATACATTTTTATTGATTAACAGATTAAAAAAGGAGAGACTAAGTCTAAAGAACATTCTTCAGAACCTTAATCTCTCCAAAAGGTAAAGGAAGCTGAGGAAGTTAAATAAGACAAAACAGATCTGGAGGATGGATTGGTTCTGTTCTCAGTGTTTGAAAGGAGGATAAATGGGAGGGTAAAAGGGTACATAGAGAAAGAAAGAAGGGAATTGAACTTTTTTATTTCTTATAATTGGAGTGCGTGAGAAGACAAGTATACAAATATGGAGGAATTGGAGGGGGAATGGGCATTAGAAATTGACAAAAGAGGGTACAGAAATGTGTCAAACTTAACAGGGAAACAAGTCAGGTTTGAGGGCAGGGTATAAGAGGGCATATCTTATCAAGAAAGGGATAGGCACAAGTGAAACAAACTTCCTGATCATGAAGTGAGGATGAAAATGGGGGAGGGGAAGGAAAAGAACTAGAATTTAAGGGGATGTCTCAGATTGCCTCAGAAAATTGGGGAAAGGATGAACATATTGTAGCATTTGAATGAAATTATTATTTTATAAAAATTTATGAAAGAAATTATTTCAGGGAATCCAGGGTAGTACGAATGAATACAAGGTGAGGTGAGCAGAGCTATGAGATCAATCTATAAAGGGAAAACAGCATTGTAAAGAAAAAATAATTTCAAAAGGCTTAATAACATCGATTGAAGCAGTCAACAACATGTCTCCAGAGGACAAAGCATGTTAGCCATCTTATGACAGAGAGGTCACAATGTATAGAGAACACAATTATAGAAAGAAGCACACTTTCTTGGACATGGCCACTGTGCAGATTTTTTTTTGTTTGATTATGTTTATTTGTTACATGATTTTTCCCTTTTCTTTCTCTTGGTTTTTAATTGGGATGAGGGAGGGAGTAGGAAGTTAGCAATAATGATGCCAACCAAAAACGTCATTTTAATATAATTTTTAAAAGCATAGAAGAGAACAGAAGGAAGTTCGGAAGGGAGCAAAGACAAGTCAGAAAGTTTTGAAAATAACATGTAGAATCCATTACATATGTATTTTTTAAAATTTTATTTATTGATTTTTAATTTTCAGCATTCACTTTTATAAGATTTTGAGTTCTAGATTTCCCCTTTCCCTCCCCTCCCCCTGCCCAGCACGATATGCAATCCGATATAGTCTATATAGGTACAATCATATTAAACATATTTCCACACTAGTCACATTGTAAAGAAGAATCAGAACCAAAGGGAAAAACCACAAGAAAGAAAAAAGAGAGAGAGAGATAAAATAGTATGTTTCTATCTGCATTTCAGACTCTATAGTGGATAGCATTTTCCGTCTTCCATCTTTTGGAATTATCTGAGATCATTGCATTGCTGAGAAGAGCTAAGTCTATCAAAGTTCATTATATATTTTTTTAAAAAGCAAAGCAGCATGATATAGAGATTCACAGTTTACTACAGAATACTCTTTCTGTGTTCTTCTGTGTATGGAAATGCTGGGGAGGTTTTATATACTTAGCTCCAGAATTTTAAAAAATTAAAGAAATGAGACCATAATGTCCTTGCCATGAAGCTCTAGTAAGTGATGGGTTGTCTCTTTCCAAAGCCAAAATACCAAATTCCAAGTGAAAAATTCTACCTAACATATTTAACATTTTAAAAAATTATTTGTGGTGCTGAAATTCATTATTTTTAAATTGAATTCAGCCAAGTATGACTTTTCTGATAATCTATTAAGCACCAACACTGGGCTAAGCCTTACAAGGAGTAAGAATACTACAAGTCCCTGTTGGCTATGAAACAGTTACACCATCCTATAGTTAGCTGGTGTCTCCGTCCCAATCCCATCTGAAAATTCAGTACTTCAGTCAAGACTGTTATTTCAGTAATGTGAAAACCCCATGGTTTCCTCAGTTCCTCCCTTCACCAATGCAGATTACGATTCGTTTATGTCTTATTAGGTGGTTTTGTGAATTATGATGTCACAGAGATACCACCCTCTATGTTGAGCTCATCTATATTTATATTGGCTCTCATGTCAATGTCAAACAGCCCATCATCATGACCATACTCAAAGCCTTTTTGGCTTGGGAAGAACTATCAGAGTTTGTACTCTACTGACAAAGGCTTTGAGGACCCAAGGTCCCTTTCATGCCACACAGAGATACTAGGGGAGGAGGTGGTCAGTGGCGAGGTTTACCATCATGGAGTCAAAAGAAAGAGACAGTCAGTTTAATCCAACAGCTTCCTGTTGTTTATACTTAAATTCAGTTAAATAGGAAGTAGAGCTAAATGGGAATTTAGAGTTCATCCAGTCTAACCACTTCCATCTAAAGAGGAGATTGATTCAAAGAGAGGTGAAGGGCCTTGCCAAAGGACACATAGTTAATGCGTAGCAGAGCTAAAATCCAGATTCAAATTCAAGTCCTCTCAGTGTTCTCTCCACTATACAAAGTTATATTCAATCAAATCCCTTTGTCTATCAGACTAAGCTGTTACTCCCATCTTTTAACCATACCATTTACCCCCAAACCAGAGCCTTAAATTGAATAATCTCTCCAGTGTTTACACTAATAGAGGGGAGCCCTGAAATGGATAATAAAAAAGTAGATAATCCAAAATCTTTACATTATATGATACACCTGGTAGGGGAAGAAAATTGAACTTTCTAACCTTTTTTCTTGGATAATATTAATCACCTAATAAATATTTATGAAGCCTCTAATGCATAGACAACCCTGCCGTTGATAAAGAAATATGAGAAACAATCATTGTCCTTGAGGAGCTTTACAGCCCAGATGGGAGGAAAAAAATTAACCAGAGAATAATGTAAAATAGTACAATAATGATCATTGTGATACTCACATTAGAAATAACAATTCCCATATCTATAATGTTTTGGGGCCTGCAAAGTATATTCCTCACCACAACCCTATGAAGTGCATCATGTAAATGCTAAGATATGTTAAAGATGGGGAAACTGAGGCTTAGAGAGATTAACTGACTTCATCAGGGTAATACAGTTAGTAAATGGCAGACCCAGTACCAGAATCCAGAATTTCCTGACTCTAGGTCTTGCCCAGGTTAGTATAAAGTACTAGATTGTGTGGTGCTGACACTACAGAGGGGTTACAGGAAAAATCAAGGAGGGCTCAAATAATCAAAGAAAACTTCCTGGAAGAAGAACTTGAATTAAGGCCTTATATGAAAGCATTAGAACTCGCTGAACTCATATTGCCCAGGAGGTAAGTCAGGGTAGCCAGCAGTGTGCTGGGTGATAGCTGGGAACCAGACCAGCATTTAAAATGGAGTGTAGAAAAAGCTCTAATTGGATATGCAATCCGAATATCAAAGGTCATGTTAAAACTAAATTTGGAGAGAACCAGATCAGGTATCTTTCATAACTATGGTTAGGAAGATAATTTTTAATCAAACAAGGAATAGAGAAGATCACAGAAGAGCAATGAGATAATTTTCGATTACATTAAATTGAAAAGCTTTTGGATGAACAAAATCAATGCAACTGGGATAAAAAGGCAAAGCTTTCAAATGACAAGAAAAGAGCTCTGCATAAAAAAGCTTTGATAAGGGTCTGATATTAAAATATCTTCGATCAAGTGGCATTCCTAATGGACAAGTGCCCAAAGGATATGAACAACCAGTTTTCAAAAGATTTATAAACTACAAACAATCATATTAAAGATTTCTCTAAATGACTAATAAGTAGAAAAAAATTTAAATAATTGAGTTTTTAACTCATGCCCCCAAATTAGTAAATATTACCAAAAATGAGAATAGTTAATTTTGAAAGGGTTTTGGGAAGACAGACACAATAATACACTTTGGTGGAGCTATGAATTGCTTCAATGATTGTGCAGTTTAGACTTATGCTAAGAAAGTATATAAAATACCTATAACCATCAACCCAGAAATTCCCCTGATAGGCATAAACCCCAGGGAGGTCAAAGGCAGAAAGAAAAATCACATATACACCAAAATATTTATAACAGCACTTCTGTAGTAGCACAGAGCTAGAAATAAATAAAGAAGGAGCCCATTAACTGGTGAATGGCTAAACAAATTGTGGCAAATGAATATAATGGAATATTATTGTGCCATGAGAGATGATAAATATGAAGAATTCAGAGAAGCATGAAAACACTTGTATAAACTGACGTAAGGTGAAGTGAGTATAACCAGAAAAACAATCTACACAGTGAATATAGCCATGTAAAATGAAAGAACGCTAGCAACCAAAGGGCATGAAAATGAACACAATATTGTTATGATGATCTTTTATAGTTCCAGAAAACAGAGGAGAAAATGCACCTCTGTCTCTTCTTTGTAGATGTGGAAAACTATGGGTGTGGATCATTGCATATGCCATCAGACTTGGGTGATGTTTGATTTAGTTTTGTTGAGCTGATTACCCACACACACACACACACACACACACACACACACACGCACACACGCACATGTACACATGCGCACATAGAGACAGTTATTTATTCTTGGTGACAAAGGATGCCTGTCTGAATAAAGGTCAGGAAAAAGATATATATAGGGTTTTTTGAAACTCTTAGTACACTTTGAAGTTATTAAAATATGTTTTTGGAAATGAAGGTAAGGCAAAAACAAAGGAGATCAATCTTTTTAAAAAATGCAATAAAATACAGTGTAGAGAATCCTTACATAGATAATTGAATTAGGGCCACACTTTTTGCTAGGGGTTGCTTCGATATGAAGGAAGGAGTTGCTGGTGCTTTGGGCTCTTGGACCGTGTAGGCTTCCACGTGAAAGAAAAGGACAAATCTAATGTTTAAAAAGTGCCTCTGCAGGAGGCATGTATGTATGTGTTTAATCAATAGTTGTACGAATAAAATACAGATCACCATGGAAAAATGAAAATCCATAACTAGATAACTATCATATTGATCACCCCAGGGACAGGCTTTGGCCAATAAGCTTCATTCACACAGGCAAAGCTGGGCCCCTGCACACCAGTAGGGGAAGATGGTGTTTATCTGCTTGCAAGCCCAGTGCTTTGGATTTTCTTGGTGTGGGCTGCCTAATTCTAGTTGTGGACATCAGGCCTAAATGCACAGGAAAGCTTCTTAAAGCCTCCCTGTTGTGTGTAGAGACTGGGAGTGTTGAAAGAGGCATAGGTGTGACGATGGGCAAGTCACTTCACCTCCTTGGGCCTAAGTTTCTTTATATCTAAGATGAGAGGGTTGTTCTCAATGATCTCTGAGGTCTCTCCAAGCTCAAGATATATGATCTTATGATTAATTTTGCTAATTGGAGAGAGGTTTATCCCCAGAGGGTTGTCCACCAGTGAATGGGTTCTTTTAGCCATGGTAAGGGATAAAAATTATCCACTGAGGCCTTGAGAGGATGACCATATAGATCAACAGAGAGAATGCCCATGCCATTGCAATTATGAATATTCAAGGTACTGAAACAAGTAAGATTTTCTCTAGTGTACATTTTGTTTGTTTGTTTTTGGATGCTTCATTCCAATTCACTGTCACTATCCAAGGCCACAGCAGGGTGGTCCATTGCCAATGAGTGAGGTGATTTCTCTGCTGGGATAAATGTGGAGAACTTCAGAATGCAAGGTTCTGGAATGAGCACTGTTTCCTGGCTTGGCTCTGTAGCTGGTATAAAAGAAAACCAGGCTGACACATGTCAGACAGAATGCAAGCATGGGAGTTGGAAAGCCCTCCACAGCGGGCTGCAGAGTAATGAGGCGGCCTCCCACCACAGAAGATGAGAGATACATCTCTTAGAACAATCAAAGATGCTGAGAGCCCCCAGTCCAAGGGGGTATAAACCAACCCCACTGGCACCCACAGAGAAATCATCATTATTACTATAGTTGGCATTTCTCTAGTGCTTTGTACTTACAAAGCACCCTGGCATGCATCACCTAAGTTCATTCTCACAGCTGCCTTATGGGGTAGGAATGACAAGTACTAGGATTATTCCACTTTTGCAGATAAGGAAACAGACCTAGAGAATTGCAGTGACTTGGAACAACAGAATGTTAGCAATGGAAAGGACACTAGAGAGATAAACTATTACACCCCCTCTTTAAAAATCAGTTTTTATTAATAATATATTACACACACATATATGTATGTATGTATATACACATACGTGTATGTATATACATATACGTGTGTGTATACACACACACACACACTATATATATATATATATATATATATATATATATATATATATATATATATTTACATCACCTATATTTCCCAATATATCTTCCTCCTGGAGAAATGGATTCCTTATGAAAAGAATAAAAAAGAGGAAAAACAATTCAACAAAACAGGCCCACATATTGAAAAATCAGCTATTATGCAGTGTTTGACACCCATTCACCCACATCTGCAAAGAAATAGGTGAAAGTGATTGGTCATTATAATTCTACAGTATTGTTTCAGTTTAATTTACAGTACATTGTTATCATCATTGTGTATATTGTTTTCCTGGTTCTGCCAACTCTACTTTGCGTTTATTCACATAAGTCTTCTCAAGCTCCTCTTTTCTTCATATGCATCACTTCTTATATCACAGTAATATTCCATTACAGTGGAATATTAACATTCCATTCTATACATTATATCAATGTCATAATTTATTTGGCCATCTACTTTCTCTCCAGCTCTTTACTATTACAACAAGTGGTTCCGTCAGCATTTTGGAGCATATGAGTCCTTTCATTTTGTCATTGACCTCCTTGATGTATATACTAGCCCCTTGTTTTTACAGATGAGAAAACAGCTCAGGGAGAAGTGCCATGCCTAAGATCATATAGCTAGTTAAGTGCATGAAGCAGAACTGGAACTGAACCCCATTTCTTCTGACTCCAAGACCAATAAAACAAGACTTTTGTTTTCCCAGATACAATCCTATAACAATGAAGCTTCCAGTCACTGTGGAAGAGAAAACAGATTCTTTGGCTTTTTCCAATGTGTTAGATGCTGGGGTTGTCTGAATGGAAAGTCAAACAGCTATGAGAAGAAGACGGTGGGTCCTGGCAGCTGCTTACAGATCTTAGGTAGGTCTGTAAATTCCTTAACTAGACAGTGAGCATTCCTTTGATGATGATAATGAAGTATATTGGCATGGTGACATCAAGATTGGGCTCCAGTTGTGTTTGATATAGACTATATGTATATCATCATCATCATCATCATCATCATCACCATCATCATCATCGCTAACATTTCTATAGCACTTACTATGTGCCAGGAACTGTGCTAAGTGCTTTACAAATATTATCTCATTTGATCCTCACAATCCTGGGAGATAGATGCTATTATTATCTTCATTTTGCACATGAGGGAACTGAGGCAAATAAAGGCTAAGTGACTTGCCCAGGGTCATACAGCTAGTAAGTGTCTGGGGTTTGATTTAAACTTAGGTCTTCCTGACCCAGCACTCTACCCACTGATATCCACTATGATTACTGAATGAATAAAATAGAACCTGGGTGCATTTGAGACAATATGAAATGATATTTGAATGTGACAGAATAAATATGCTTGAACAAACAGAGCCCGGATCAGTTTGGTCCATGTGGAGATGATGTAGAAGGAGAGGAATGGTTTCATCAGCATAGAACCCAGAGGTTTGGGTGTCCATATGGAAGGACACCAGTGCCTGGAGTTTGGGGGAAATGTGAGTAATGAGTGTTGCATTGGCTGAGACTGTAACCCTCCACAGGCTCTACAGGTCCTAAAATTGCACGTGGTCTTGGGTCCTACTGTCTTTTCATATTAGCATCTGCTGTTTAATGAAGAGAGAGAGCCCTAATAGCTATGCCTATCTGAATAGCATGGTCTTGAATCCCTAGGGATGTCCCTACAGGAAATGAGAGCCGATGGAGGCAGTATCTTGAGGCCAGAGTGTGTATTGTGGGTTCCAATCAGAATGTGAGGGTTTGCTGTATCTCTAGCACTATATTGGGAATCAGAAGACTTGGTTTGGAGTTTCAGCCTTGCCATTTCTTAGGCAAATGAACCTGAGAAACCCACTAACCCTCTCTGAAGCTCAGTTTCCTAATCTTTAAAATGCAGAAAATGCCATTTGCACTACTCACAACATAGGCTGTCTTACCATCACTAATATGGTCATGTACACAAGTGCTATATGAACATTGGGGATTATATATGGTTATGTAGCTTTGAGAGGGAAAAAGCCCACCTTTTCCCCTTTGCTTGATGCTCTTCTGTGTGATTTTATTCCACTTAGAAAAGCTGATAACTGTCAAGTTCCATATGTTACAAAGATGATAGAGGGAGCTCATAAAAGATTTAATTGCCTTCTGGTGGAGAACTGAACCTACCTCACTCAGGCTGGAGGTGCACTGACCCCACTCCTGGGATCTCATACTCCTTGAATGAGGACACAGCCAGTCAGCAGTTCACTAGTTCACGGCTCCCTTGTCCAGGATTTTGGAACTGACTTCTCTAGAAGACAGCCAATTCCACCTCAGTTTCATATCCCTATCCTTTTGTCAGGTTGCCATTTCAACAACACACTTGGAACACAAGCCTTGGGAGCAATGCTAGCTACTGTCTCCTGTTTACAAGTCAGACGACTTCAGCACCTAGGATAGAGGCAAAACAACTAGAACATGGAGTTAAATGGTATCTTCAGAGTTCATGAGAATGGTCCTTAAATGGTGACACACTGACAGCATTCAGCAGACATTTTAGGTTGTTTGGGGCTAATGTAGGATTCTCCCACCCCCACCCTCCACCCCCACTACTCTTACATACACACTTTTTCCTAAGGAGAAGCCACCACCTTTTATGCTGTTTCTCAGTGGAAGAATTGTTCATTGTTAGAGCTACTAGCTGCTCAAGACCATGCTTCCTAGATGACCTTTTTGTCTTCAATGTGGATGTTGGTAGATTCAGGTTACTGTAGACTTTCAGGACATTGAGGTTCCTAATCAAAGTCCTGTTGTGGAAAGTACCTTGAGTTTACAGTCAGAAGATCTGAGTCTGAATGGAGGGGTTGGATGGTCTGGCCTTTGAGGTCCCTTCCAGCTCTGGATTTATGAGTCTATGATTCTATGTATAATTTTGAAAGAGTCCCTTCACCTCCATATTCCTCACTTTCCTCTACCAAAAAATGAAATGATGGGAGTAGATGGTGTCTGAGGTCTCTTCCAGCTCCATATCAATTATCTTTGTGTGAGACCTGTGACAAGTCAAAGCCTTCCTGGGCTTCAGTTTCTTCCTTTGTAAAATTAATGGAGGGTGGTATCAGGAGAAGGGAATATGCATTTATAAAGTGCCTACTATATGCCAGGCACTGTGCCAAGCACTTAAGTCCTCACAACAACCCTGTGAGATAGATGCTATTATTATTCCCATTTTACAGTAGAGGAAATTGAGGTAAACAGTGATTACATGATTTATTCAGGGTCACACTGTTAATAAGTGTCTGAAGCTGAATTTGAACTCATACCTTCCTTATTCCAGGGCCATGATCTATCCACTATGCCACCAAACTACCTCAAAATTTAGCTGCAGTAGATCTGGAATTTTTAACCTTTTGTATCACAGACCCCTTTAGAAGTCTGGTGAAGCCTATGGGTTCCTTCCATGAATAATGTTTTAAACACATAAAATAAAGCCAATAGGTCTCCTATAGGATCATAGATATAGAGATGGAAGGGACCTCAGACTTTCCAATTCCTTTGTTTTATGTTAGATGAAACTTAGGTTTATTATGAAGGAAACCAATTATATTGAAATAAAGTTATCAAAATATTTTTTTAAATGAGTTTATGGACCTCAGGCTAAAAAGTCCAATCTTCATTGCCATCTCTAAGATCCTATGCATGACCATGTCACAACATCTCTAGGTCAATATCCTCCTTTGTAAAATGAGAGAGGTGAACTACATGGACTCCAAAGTCCCTTCCAATTTTATATCCACCTATGATCATATGATTAGATGACCTCCAAACTCTCTTTGCACTCCACAATATCAGATTCTATAAAGCTATGCTAACCCTCCCTTCAAATCAGCATGATGGCCTCATTGTTGGGAAATTGGCAGATGATGGGAGTCACTATATACAAAAATTCATAAAGCACCGTGCCTCCCTACAGGGAGTTTACTCTAAAGTCAGGTATATAAGCACACACACACACACACACACACACACACACACACACACACACAGGGCACTTAAGAAATAGTGCCAAGGAGGGCCCCGTGAGTTTCAGTTAATTGACTCACTGCTCCCTCTCTCCTTGCCACTTTGTTTGCCATGGTAGCTTTGGTTCCTTGATGGGATGAAACCCATATGCAGTAAGGTGGACCCTATCCTATCCTCAGCTGTTCCAGTCTAGTGAAGAGCTGTAAAGCTGCTGGACTGATGGCACATATGGAACACAATTAGACAATGCCAGCTGGTTGCTATATGATCACAAGTCCCTGAGCCTCTGTTTCCCCATCTAGAAAGTGGAGGTGGTAATATTGGTACTACCTATCTACCTTAAAGGGTTATTTTGAATAACACTATTGGTAACCTGAAAAGTGCTATATGAATGTGAATTATTAGTTATTATTGCTCTTATCATTGGTTCCTGTCCAAGGTGGTAGCAAAAATCTACTTGCCACAGATATGCATCCCTTTCATGTGATTATGTAGGGAACTGGGCTTGGAGATGAAGCTGATGGGGTCTTGTTGTCCCCAATAAGCATGGCTTAGATGAATGTGCATCAGGAAACCTAGATAGCCTGATTCTAGTCAATATTGTTGAGATCTCATGGCTTTTTTGGGACAGTGATTGGCCAGCAGTTCTTCTATGTGTGTTTTTATGAGAGGCAGCATGACATTGTGGATAGAGTGCTCATATGAAGGTTCAAAGTGGATTCCAAGCCTACTTCTATCACTTACTGTCACTTATTATGATGACAGACAATCCATTATCCTTCCTCCCTCCAGATTCATGAAACTTTCTTTTCTTAATGTAACCTTTATTTTTTGTAAATTTTATTTATTTATTTTAAGCTTAAACACAAAATGAGAAAAGAAAAAAAATATTGCCATGTACACAGCAAAACATGAGAGGATTCTATATAAAACAATAAATTTCCATGTCAAGAAAACCTATATAATAAATACTACACTTTGTTTTCAAAGCTGCCCAGCTTTTTTTTTTTGCTTACTTGTAGGTTTCCTTTTGTTTTCTTCTGTGCACTTTTTACTTTATTTCCCCCCCAACTCCCTTTCCCTTAGCCTAAACAAGGCTACGATAAGCATGGAGACACACACACACACACACACACACACACACATACACAGACATACATATACATATATAGATGTGTATATAGAGATATTTATAAATATGTACACACATATGTACGTTGATACACATATATGTAAAACCATGCTATGTTTATTTCTACTTGTTATCTGTTTCTCTGAAGGTGGATATATCATCTCCTTCATAAGTCCAAGTCTTCCCATGTTTTTCTAAATCAACCAGCTCATTTCCTAAACCACAGCAATATTCCAGCCCATCCACAGCCTATCTGAGAGATTGTCTATGAAGTTTTTTCCCTCAATTTTCTGCATTCCTTCTATTCTTGGCTTCATTGATTTTATTTATACAAGAAAATTTTAATTTAAAATAATCAAAATTATCCATTGTATGCCTCAACAATGCTTTCACCTTATAGGTTAAGGTCCGGTACTGCTGAATCTGCTTCCTCTACATCTTTTTTTCCTAGTTTGTTTGAAATCACTGACCTTTTGTTCTTCCATATGAACTTTGTTATTATTTTTTCTAACTCAATAAGATAATTTTTTTAGTTAATTGGGATGGCATTGAACAAATAGATTAGTTAAGTTAAATTGTCTTTTTAAAAAAAATTATATTGGCTTTACCTATCCATGAACAATGAATATTATTTCAGTTATTTACATTTGACTTTATTTCTATAAAGTGTTTCATGTTTATGTTCATATAGCTCCTGTGCCTGTTTTGGCAGGTATACTCTCAGGTATTTTATACTCTCTAGTTA